TCCATAAGTAGGCCTCTTGTCTTACCTGCAAATCTCCAGACCCAGGAAGCCCATTCAGTTTATGGTGAGTTTTGATTTTCTGAAATCTCAGTTTATCAGATTGATGCCTACTTCCTTATAACATTCCGCCATTCATTCTAGACCTGACCTATTTCCTTCTGATCCCTTAAGTATATGAAGACAAATTGTTGTCCCCTTTTCCCACCTTTGCAACTGGTAGTTCATCTGTTTTCAAGGTTAAACCTCTTGATCCTTCAGGAAATTCAATCTGCTGCCACAGGTAGTTGCTAGAATGTACATTTTTAAGAGCTTGAAACTTTTTCTCACACTGACCTTATTCTGTAACACTTTATGAAACTGGCTAATGGTTATTAGGTTTCCTTCACACTGACCTTATTCTGTAACACTTTATGAAACTGGCTAATCGTTATTAGGTTTCCTTCAGAACCACGTTAATCACAGTGAACTCAGATGACATCTGCACTGTTACAGGACCTACCATTCACTACAACGCCAGTAAAATGTGAAATACAACCATGAGTATATGGCAGATTGTGATCGGGGCTGAGATTTACTGTTTTTTTTTTTTTAATATTTGTGGGAATGAAATATTGATTTCCTCAGCAGCTTTTTCAAATAAATGGGTTTGAAATTCTATACTGAAATACTCATCCTTACCAGGGTAGAGGGTACAGTTCATAAATGACAAGTCATCAATTGCAATGTCTCCAGTGAAGCCATCTCCCACCGAAGCCTCCACCAAAATCTAAAAAAGATACAAGAACCATGTTGATATTGTGAAGGAAATCATTTTATGAGAACTCAGAGGAAAAAAGTTCAGAATTTACCTAGAGAGAGCTCCTTCTGAACCTTTAAAAAAATACTTTGCAAACATTTCCATAAGTAGGCCTCTTGTCTTACCTGCAAATCTCCAGACCCAGGAAGCCCATTCAGTTTATGGTGAGTTTTGATTTTCTGAAATCTCAGTTTATCAGATTGATGCCTACTTCCTTATAACATTCCGCCATTCATTCTAGACCTGACCTATTTCCTTCTGATCCCTTAAGTATATGAAGACAAATTGTTGTCCCCTTTTCCCACCTTTGCAACTGGTAGTTCATCTGTTTTCAAGGTTAAACCTCTTGATCCTTCAGGAAATTCAATCTGCTGCCACAGGTAGTTGCTAGAATGTACATTTTTAAGAGCTTGAAACTTTTTCTCACACTGACCTTATTCTGTAACACTTTATGAAACTGGCTAATGGTTATTAGGTTTCCTTCACACTGACCTTATTCTGTAACACTTTATGAAACTGGCTAATCGTTATTAGGTTTCCTTCAGAACCACGTTAATCACAGTGAACTCAGATGACATCTGCACTGTTACAGGACCTACCATTCACTACAACGCCAGTAAAATGTGAAATACAACCATGAGTATATGGCAGATTGTGATCGGGGCTGAGATTTACTGTAACAGAATTAATCATGATGAATTATTTTAATACTCATGCAAATATGTTACATACTAGGAATCCTGCTATAAGTTAGTAATGAAGAACAAGCAAATTCAGATTTTAAAAACAGGTTCTTTTTTTCCACTATTATATGCATGTATATTTCCATTTCATTTTCCCTCACAAATGCTGTGTGTGGGAGTTGAAATTTTATTTTTCAAACTACCTTTCATTCAAAAATGTCTCATATCGTATTTATAGATATCTTAGCTGAAGGAAAGTCTTAAAAGGTCAAATTACTGACCTCAAACATCTTGACATCTTTCCCCAACTTGCTAGTCTTTGAAAAGTACCAGAATTTCTACCTGATTTGTCACTAAGAGAATCAATCAACTTGTGAAAGGTTTATGCATTTAACTAATGGGCAAATTAATTCTACCCAAAATTGCCTGAAGAACATTTAATTGCAACACAGCAAGTATCCTACTGCTTTACAATGGGTCATTCCAAATACAAAAAGAATTCTTGTCTCTGCCAGCATGACTGAAAGAAATATTATAGACAAGAGAAAACAAAAATGCAGGAACAATACTTAGTACACCATGGACATACAATGGGGAAATGACAGCCTCTTCAACAACTGGTGCTGGCAAAACTGGACAGCTACATGCAGAAGAATGAAACTGAATAACTTTCTAATACCATACAATAAAGTAAACTCAAAATGGATCAAAGACATGAATGTAAGTCATGAAACCATAAAACTCTTAGAAGACAACATAGGCAGACATCTCCTGAATGGAAGCATGAGCAACTTCTTCCTGAACGCACCTCATCGAGCAAGGGAAACAAAAGCAAAAATGAACTCATGGGACTACCGCAAACTAAAAATCTTCTGTATGGCAAAGGACACCATCAGCAGAACAAAAAGGCATCCTACAGTATGGGAGAATATATTCATAAATGACAGATCCGACAAGGGGTTAACATCCAAAATATATAAAGAACTCACATGCCTCAACAACCAAAGGGCAAATAACCCGATTAACAAATGGGCAGAGGATACAAACAGACACTTCTCCAAAGAAGAAATTCAGATGGCTAACAGGCACATGAAAAGATGCTCCACATCACTAATTATCAGGGAAATGAAAATTAAAACCACAATGAGATATCACCTCACACCAGTTAGGATGGCCAGCATCAAAAAGACTATGAACAACAAATGCTGGCGAGGATGCAGAGAAAGGGGAACCCTCCTACACTGCTGGTGGGAATGTAAGCTAGTTCAACCATTATGGAAAGTAATATGGAGGTTCCTCAAAAAACTAAAAATAGAAATACCATTTGATCCGGGAATTCCACTCCGTGGAATTTATCCAAAGAATACAAATTTTCAGATTCAAAAAGACATATGCACAACTATGTTTATTGCAGCACTATTTACAATAGCCAAGATATGGAAGCAACCTAAGTGTTCATCAGTAGATGAATGGATAAAGAAGAGGTGGTACATATACACAATGGAATATTATTCAGCCATTAAGAAAGAAACAAATCCTACCATTTGCAACAACATGGACAGAGTGGAAAGATATTATGCTCAGTGAAATAAGCCAGGCAGAGAAGGACAAGTACCAAATGATTTCACTCATTTGTGGAGTATAACAACGAAGCAAAACTGAAGGAACAAAACAGCAGCAGATTCACAGACACCAAGAAGGGACTAGTGGTTACCAAAGGGGAGGGGTGGAGTTGGGTGGGTGGGGAGGGAGGCAGAGAGGGATTGAAGGGTATTATGATTGGCACACATGGTGTGGGGGGATCATGGGGTATACTTCTGTGGCATCTTACTACACTGATGGACAGTGACTGCATTGGGGTATTGGTGGGGATTCGATAATAAGGGTGAATGTAGTAACCACATTGTTTTTCATATGAAACCTTCATAAGAGTGTATATCAATAATACGTTAATAAAAAAAGAATACTTAGTACAAAAATCATACAATTATTCTGATAACAAAAAGCCAGCAGTAAGAATTTGTTAGACTATACAGTAAGAAATCTATAGAAAGACTGCAGTTCACTATATGTTTATTCCATTGCAATATAACATAGGGTATGCTAACAAAAGGCTCAGAAGATTGAAGAAAAAGGAAAAATCTAGGATAAGTAAGAATAAACACTACTGACTTTGCTACTTGCTCATGGTCATCTTAGTTTATTAATGAAGAGGGATGGAATATTGATATCAGAATCCCAATATTTATGGGAAGCCTAGTTGTACACATACATATCTGTAAGCTAACTTTAGAGATATATATATATATATATACATGCATAGCTCTATTCAACAGTATGGGTTTAACTGTTCCAATGTATTTTTGTTATTATGCACTCACAAATTTAAGAATTAGCCATTTGTGAAAATTACAAATTTTCTCATGTGTGGACCACACCAGGTACACAGCATGTCTGAGTGGAGCTTACTGCACAAGGCTTACTCCCACTGAAGTTTACTTCACTTTGCTTGAAAAAGATTTTGATGTGGTTTCCAGAAGTATTTGATGTCAATGGAAAGGAACAAAAAGACATAAGTTTTACAAAAATATCTTCAATTCCCTAATCCTCTAAGTGTTAACATTCTTGAGAATTAATGAACAATAGTTTCAAGTTGAGATACTAAAAATGTCAATTTGTATGTATAATTGCAGTCTCAGCCTCTTTCAAATATTCAATTAAGCTGGCCATTTTTTAAAAAGCCTACTTGGTAAATTACATCTTGAGAAAAAGTTATGAATGCTGTAGTTTAATTCTATCTTTGCCCTATATTTAATTTGTTCTTACAAAATGCTGTGCAAATTATCCTAAGAAACTAGTCCTGAGAAAATAGTCACAAAAAAGAACCACACCAAGAGTCTTTATTCCAAAAATTCACTTTCATTTCTGTTGTTTTTCCCAGAATAAATGGAAGGCTACTAAAATACACACATCATTGTATGCAAGGCCGTATTGCCATTCTGGCATCAGGAAAGCTGACTTTCATTCCTAGGCTCCACTAGTGCCTTACTGAACAACTCCAAGGGCAACTGAAAATTCCAGTTTGGTCTAAAAGACCTGCATTTATCTGTAGAAGCCAATTTGACTTAGAGTAGAACTATCACTGGCTTGGAAATTTCATAAAATGATTCAGCTCTGCTATGTTGCCCTTTTCATGGGCTGCTACACACTCCGAATACAGATGGAGTGGCTTTGCCAACTATATTGGGACTTTCACTTCCAATCCAACCAAAGACTCAAATATTAATAAGGCTCTAAAGACCTGAGTTCATTTTCCTCTATATTGACCAAAATTTTTAAATGATATGGAAATTTCTGTCCTCAGAGGCATGTAAGATTCAATGTAATAATTTTTACAAAAATGTCTTCAATTTCTTAGCATATAAATGTTATACACATCTTCATGGAAAATATCTTCAGTTTTCATATATATGCTATATGTATGTAATACAGATAATGCTCTATTAACAAAATACAAAAAGAATGGAATTCATTCAACCTGCCACCTACTTTAACCATGCTATGTTTGAAAAAGAAAAAAAAATCCAGCATAATATATCAATTTTTGTATAATGCGTCTTCAGGAAAACTTGAAACAAAGGAATTCTTATTTAAAATTCATAAAAAGTGCATATCCGATGTGGAGCAACCGGAACTCCAATACACTGCTGATGGAAATCCAGAATGGTACAGTCATCTGGGAAAATGGTTTGGCAGTTCCTAATAAAGGTAAACATGTGTTTCAATATGATATAGCAATCCTATACATGGGTATTTGCTTAATCAAGAGAAATGAAGATGCATGTCAAACAAATATCCATTCCCAAAGCTAAGAAAAGCTATCCTTGTGATCTCCAAAAACTGGAAACAATTCAAACACCCTCAAGCAGCAAAGAGGAAGGCAGCTTGTGGTAGATCTTTTCAAAGACAAGCCACTCCGCATTTATTTTTTTATTTTTTTATTTTTTATTAAGGTATGATTGATATATACTCTTATGGAGGTTTCACATGAAAAAACAATGTGGTTACTACATTTACCCATATTATCAAGTCCCCACCCATATGCCAACGCAGTCACTGTCCATCAGCATAGTAAAATGCCACAGATTCACTACGTGCCTTCTCTGTGCTACACTGTTAACCCCATAATCCCCCACACCATGTGTACTAAACATAATACCCTTCAATCCCCTTCTCCCTCTCTCCCCACCAATCTTCCCACACCCCTCCACTTTGGTAACCACTAGTTCATTCATGGAGTCTCTGAGTCTGCTGCCATTTTGTTCCTTCAGTTTTGCTTCATTGTTATACACCATAAATGAGGGAAATCATTTGGCATTTGTCTTTCTCTGCCTGGCTTATTTCACTGAGCATAATATCCTCCAGCTCCATCCATGTTGTTTCAAATGGTAGGATTTGCTTCTTTCTTATGGTTGAATAGTATTCCATTGTGTATATGTACCAGATCTTCTTTATCCATTCATCTATTAAAGGACACTTAAGTTGCTTGCATATCTTGGCTATTGTAAATAGTGCTGCGATAAACATAGGGGTGCATATGTCTTTTTGAATCTGACAATTTGTATGCTTTGGGTAAATTTCAAGGAGTGGGATTATTGGGTGAAATGGTATTTCTATTTTTAGAGTTTTGAGGAACCTCCATATGGCTTTCCATAATGGTTGAACTAGCTTAGCTTACATTCCCACCAGCAGTGTAGGACGGTTCCCCTTTCTCCACATCCTTGCCAGCATTTGTTGTTCTTAGTCTTTTTGATGCTGGCAATCTTTTTGTGTGACGTGATATCTCATTTTGGTTTTAATTTGCATTTCCCTGATGATTAGTGATGTGGAGCATCTTTTCATGTGTCTGTTGGCCATCTGAATTTCTTCTTTGAAGAAGGGTCTGTTCATATCCTCTGGCCATTTGTTAATCAGGTCATTTGCTTTTTGGATGTTGAGGCGTGTAAGTTCTTTATATATTTTGGATATTAACTCCTTGTCAGATATGTTATTTACAAATATATTCTCCCATACTGTAGGATGCCTTTTTGTTCTGTTGATGATGTCCTTTGCTGTACAAAAACTTTTTAGTTTGATGTAGTCCCTTGGATTCATTTTTGCTTTTGTTTCCCCTGTTCAAGAAGATGCATTCAGGAAGATGTTACTCATGCTTATATTCAGGAGATGATTACCTATGTTGTCTTCTAAGAGTTTTATGGTTTCATGACTTACAAGCAAGTCTTTGATCCATTTTGAGTTTACTTTTGTGTATGGGGTTAAACAATAATCCAGTTTCATCCTCTTGTATGTAGCTGTCCAGTTTTGCCACCACCAGCTGTTCAAGAGGCTGTCATTTCCCCAGTGTATGTCCATGGCTCCTTTATCATATATTAATTTACCATATATGGTTGGGTTTATATCAGGGCTCTCTAGCTGTTCCATTGGTCTATGGGTCTGTTCTTGTGCCAGTACCAAATTGTCTTGATTACCATGGCTTTGTAGTAGTGCTTGAAGTTGGGGAGTATAATGCCCCCTGCTTTATTCTTCCTTCTCAGAATTGCTTTGGCTATTCGAGGTCTTCTGTTGTTCCATATGAATTTTAGGATGATTTTCTCTAGTTCGTTAAAGAATGCTGTTAGTATTTTGATAGGAATTGTATTGAATCTATAGATTGCTTTAGGCAGGATGGCTATTTTGACAATTCTTTGTATCCATGAGTACGGGATTTGTTTCCATTTATTAGTATCTTCTTTAATTTCTCTCATGAGTGCCTTGTAGTTTTCAGAGTATAGGTCTTTCACTTCCTTGGTTAGGTTTATTTCTAGGTATTTTATTCTTTTTGATGCAATTATGAATGGAATTGTTTTCCTGATTCTCTTTCTGCTAGTTCATTGTTAGTGTATAGGAATGCCACAGATTTCTGTGAATTAATTTTGTATCCTGAAACTTTGCTGAATTCAGGTATTAGATCTAGTAGTTTTGGTGTGGATTCTTTAGAGTTTTTTATGTACAATATCGTGTTTTCTGCAGACAGGGAGAGTTTCACTTCTTCCTTGCCAATCTCGATGCCTTTTATTTCTTTGGGTTGTCTGATTGCCGTGACTAGGACCTCCAGTACTATGTTGAATAGAAGTGGGGAAAGTGGGCATCCTTGTCTTGTTCCTGACCTTAAAGGAAAAGCTTTCAGCTTCTCACTGTTAAGTATGATGTTGGCTGTGGGTTTGTCATATATGGCCTTTATTATATTGAGGTACTTGCCCTCTATATCCATTTTGTTGAGAGTTTTTATCATGAATGGATGTTGAATTTTGTCAAATGCTTTCTCAGCATCTGTGGAGATGATCATATGGTTTTTGTCCTTCTTTTTGTTGATCTGGTGAATGATGTTGATGGATTTTCGAATGTTGTTCCATCCTTGCTTCCCTCAAGCCATTTCGCATTTAAAGGAGCCAACTAATGTCATGTGCAGTGACAGCTGAGAATCTCAAAAGCATGATACTAAAAAGTTGGATGCAAAAGGCCACATACTTTATCAATCCATTTCCACAACTTCTAGAAAAGCAGAGCTATAGGAAAAGGAATCAGTCAGCATTGCCAGAGGCTGGGGGAGAGGAGGGGCTTAATGACAGAGAGGAAGGAGGAATCTGGAAATATTTTTAGTTGTGATGTGGCTACATGACTTTTGTTGAAATTCATAGAGCTGCTCACCTAAACAAGATGAATTTTACTTATATAAATTGTACCTCAATAAACAAATAAAAAACATTTATTCTATAATTATTGCCATAAGTCATCAATATCTCAACTATTACTTACACTGATTTCTAAATTGCTAATTTAATGCATGGAATTTTATAATGAGCATTATAACATTCTCAAGAATCTCAATGTACTTTTCAATTCAGCTATGAAAAATCTTGCTATCCACTAATAATTTTTCAGGGAACTATTTGTTTTCCCTTATATATTTTATAGGCATCCACTTACATTCATTTAGTAGTCCATAATTTATAATGCAGAAACAGAGAAAATGAAAGACATTATAAAAACACTCTTTTAGCCTTTTTTTTTTTTTTTTTTACAAAAACTGACCAAAAGCTGACGTAGTCAAATCCTTGAAACACATTTAGACAACTATCCAATATTTTACCACATGACATAAAATTCTAGGGACAGTTAGAAGGTCAGTTTAGAATCTCAAAACTTTCCAGGCTAATACTTAGGGAAGTAGTTGTTAGATTCAATGTAAAAAGGTTTTAAACCATCTTTGGAATTTTTATACAACCTTGAACCAATCTCTTTAAAATAAAACTCAGATTCTTGTCTGATAAATTTAATGTTTCTAATTCTGTCTCTGGCCATATCACATGCAGAAAAAAAATGCAGATAATTAGAGTTTTCAATTGCTATTCTATACATATGAAAACCATTTATCATAAACACGAGACACAAAAATTATCAAAACTGTGCATATAACTGAGCACAGAAATGGATAATAAAAATAAAATTGTGGTACTAGTAGAGAGGAAATAAAATACTGGGACAGATAAGTATGGCAAGTGCTATAAAAGGATAAGTTAAAAGAAAAAATCTGATGTCCATCTCATCTAATTTCCTATTTTGGGAAAAAACCATGTCAAAATTTTCATTCATCTTTTGGCATTACATTGTATTTCTTCTTGGTTATGTCAGGTTTTAGAACACATGACTTGCTAAGAATTTTTGATACTTCAATGACTGCCTACTTTGGCATTGTGCCAAGTGTTTCTATGGATACCAAGGAGCAGAAAGGCATCCTGTCCTCTAGCTTCTCACCATCTAGGGCAGAAGAGACTGAATGGTGACAACCTGGCTCCCAGAAGTTTAGTTTAACCCAAACAACACTTTCAAGTAGAACAGGCTACCAAATATTCTAAAAGTAACATATTTCACAGAACAATATTGTCCTATATTGGCTACAATCCCTATTACTCCCTAATAAATACCTAACTCTAAGGCTGAAGGTCTGTTCCACTTACTATTTTACATTTGACCTCCTGGTCTCAATTCATGTCGGTTGCCTGGTGCCCACAGGCATAGGGTTTGCAATTCCTTGTGCACGTTAGGTCAGAAACTATGAAGGGGTGAGACTTGCCCCTGCTCACAAGCTAATAATATTGCCTGCCACTGTTTCATATTCATATACTGACAGAAGATACCAGATCCTTGATTTAGAGGGACAACCAAAAGCATCATCCAGAGAACTACCTTCCACGGATTCCCCAGCCCCCCAGGGCAACATGATGAGGGCCCAGCATTTTCCCGCTCATGCAGTGGATTGCACCGTAAAAGAGGAATCCTGACATTAAAAGAGACTAGCTGGTATAGGCTGCTTATACATCAGCTAATTCCTGCCTCCAGAGAGAAAGAGAGAGGTGGATGTGAAGGAGAGGGCCACTTCCATGGAATGTAGGCAACTGCCTCACGGTAAAGGCTGTTCAAATACACACTTTGCTCAGAGGCTAAACTGTGCAGAACACAAGAAATCCATGGAGAATCATGTCCCAACAGCGAAGCTGAGCAAGAAGCTGCTACACTTCTGACATATTTAACTTGTGGAAGCACTAAGACCCCTTAATATATGTGGGAACTGAAATGTTCTTATCAGCTTGGCCTCCTTTTCTCTCACATAATAACACATTTTTATGCTATCTGAACTGAATGAGTATAACACCTTTCAG